TTTTTCTTTTTACTGAGAGGCTCAAAGAAAGACTAAAAAGTTTGAATCCCAGAATTTCGGGGGGGGGGGATTTGTTCCGACGGTGCCCCCCCTGGCTACGAGCCTGGCAAGGTGCGTAGTCAAATCTTTCAACAAAAAATAAGCATCCTTTAAGCACTTTTTAGGCACCCAGAAAATATATATAAACAATATACACTAAGAATATGCAAAATAATTTTCAAAGACTTTACATGATCATGATAAAATAACTAGTTTCTGACAAAGAACTCTTTTCTTGATTATATAAGCCACCATAAAAATATCGAGAGATTTTTCGGTTCGATTTCAGAAGGTGGAAAATTAAGCCTGCACTTGAGAATATCTTGAAAAATGCAGCAGAGTTGCACATGAGAGAATAAAAATCTCACCAAACCCAGCTCAGTATATGCACATGCGACCTCGCAAGTATTTCATCAAACATGTAAAATTATTGGCTTCTTCAAACGCTATGGACCGATGTCACGCTGAAATAGATTATCAAATGAATTGTGAAAACATTGAATAGTACGCTTTTGTATAATACGTGGCGAAAAGATAAAGAAAAAAGTCTCATTTCCGAAAAGCACTTTTTAAAAACACCCCCCCCCCCAAAAAAAGCACTTTGCTAAAAAACGAAAATAAGCACCTTTAAGCACTTTTTAAAAACGCTACACACCATGATCTACCACTGAAAATATTTCATAAGCACTGTAGCCAATGCAAGAGGAGAGCAGTTATGATTTGAGCAGAGTGCAGTTATGACGCTGGGATTTGAGCCTGGATCCTCTCATCAGGAGGAAAACTCTCTGCCCCAAAAGACATCAACAGCTTTTCACAAGTAATAATCAGTCTTACACTTTATTGTAGTTAGTTGAAAATAGTATATATATATATATATATATATATATAACTAACTAACTCAGTGGCGCGACAGCCCATTAAGAGGGCCAAGGCCGACTGTGCCCATCTCAGTTTTCTTGACCTTGGGCTCTGGGGTGCAGGAGCAATGATTTTTATTTTATTGCATTATATNGCATGCTTGGTACTCATTTTATCGACCCACTGAAGGGATGAAAGGCTGAGTCGGCCTTGCCCGGCCCAAGGATCGAACCAAGGACCTGTGGCACGGCAACGCGAAGCGCTACCACTCAGCCACCGGGCGTCATATATATATATATATATATATTTTATTCTAAGAAGATTAGTTTCATTTCATTGTTCATCAAAACAAGATTAGTTTCATTAATTTCGATTTTAAAAACCTTAAATACTATCTTATAGTACCTCTATACATTTTTCAAGAAAATCAATTAAAAAAAAAATATATTGAAAAAAATATAGTTTTTAGCTATTTATATTTCTTTAGTTTTTTAAAAAGACTAAAAGAGTAAGTTTTGTAAAGAATGAAAACGAAAGTAAAAAGTTTTAAAATGGAAAAGATATCTTTCTGATTATAATCCCTCTAGAAAGTACAAAATAAGCGCACAGGACTTTTTAAACCTAATATTTCGAGTAATAGATTTTTGTAGAAAAATATAACAAAATTGTAACAAAAATGATATTGTAATAAAATAATTGTAATATTGAAAATTGTAATAAAAATGTAACAAAATAAAACTTGATTTTTTAAAATTAATAAGAAACCATAAGGAAGCAAGATCAGCTTAAACTTATATATATATATTTTTTTTTTAAATCCAAACGAAATGGTGGCAAATGCGAGGTTACATTTCATTTACAATAGTTTATACAATAGCTGACAAACTAAAATGGAACTAAACATAAAACAACCAAATAAAACTTAAATAAATAGCTTTATTTGAAACACATAATACAATAAAGATGACGTAGATCTGTCACAAGCTCATGAACACTAAATTGGGAACACATGTTTAATACATAAATAACGATAACACAAAATATGACACATAAAATAAATTTATACAATTTTATAGGAATGTCATTTATTTGTTTGCATTAAATTATTTTTATATAAGCATTAAATTTTATGAAAACATTACTAAGTATACGCAAGTAGCCTATTCTGTATTTAATAGAATTAAATCTAGTCTTTTAAGTAATTCCCAAACAGTTGTTTCAAATTCCTTTCATTTAAACCGTAATAATTTCAAAAGCATGTACTAGTAAAAAAATTTAAAAATTCTCATCAAATGATAATTGTACATTGACAAAAAAATTATGGGAAGAAAAACGTGATTTCTTAAATAAAATAAATATATATATATAAAATAACTCATTTTAATGTGAGGTAATGTTAATGAGAATTGCATTAAATGTATGAAAATTATAAATGCTAAGTTATTTTGTCCTGATATTTCAATGAGTGATGTGAGAAAGTTTTTCATTTATAGCTCAATTACATCATAAACAACTAAACTCTAGTCAAAATCATTTTCAAAATTTTTCATTTTCAAAAGCCTATGTAAATTCACAACCCTTTTTCTTTGTATTAAGAAACATTTCATAATTTAAAGCATACTTAAAGAGAAATATTCTAGAATTTGAAAAAGTAAAACAAAAAAATTTCTTAAGCTATGAATAAGATTGAAAAAAATGAAGGAGAAAAAATTTACAGCAATGAATTAAATTATTCAATAATAAATTATAAACGTTATGAATTTTAATTAAATTTAAAACTTTGTTTTCTCGCAAGTTCCTAAATAAGTACAGGAAACATCTGCGGTTTATACCAGTGGTTTCCAACTGGCGGCCCGGGGGCCGCATCCGGCCCTCGAAGCCTTTTTTCGTGGCCCGCGAACTAAAATATATTAATTCTAATTTTTCTGTGGACAATTTTCGTAAAAAATCCATATGGGTTTAAAATACTTTTCTCGTTTATAAAAGCCTAATTTTTTCACTTCTGTGAAATTTATCATAACAACGGTGCATAAAAATTTATTTCTCAGGTTTTGCATCCAAGGAAATATTTATATAAATATTAAATTAATCGTGTATGTTGCTCTTTCTTATTTCATTTTTTGTATTTTGTGATTATAATTTAGCATGTGTGTATCAAAAATTTTCTCGAAGAAATTCTCTGATTTAACTTTTTGAAACCACTCATTTTGGACGAAAATATTTACACACACATTTGTAAATTTTAAATTTAACATGTAAATATCTATTCTCTGGTGGTTGCAGCAGAGAAACCTCAGTTTTGTCATTGAACATTTTGTGTGATACTATGTAAGTTTTAATACCAACCTTTTTAAAGTTTCTGTTGCACATTAATTGTTTAATACATGGGTGCACATTAAAGTTATTGTAGCCAGTATTTTTTAATTTACAATTAAATATTTTTTTAAATCTACTTCTTATTTTAATTTGTAATTCAATACTTTTGTTTTGTACAACTTGGTAAAAATCTGACAGTAATATTTAATGTTCCTTCAAACATAAAAGAGTCCTACATAAAATTTTGATAAAGTTGTGGCCCGCCATTTGATTTTTGTTTTTAATTGTGGCCCCGGCCTCAGTAAGTTGGAAACTCCTGGTTTATACTTTCAATGATTGTAAGAAGAGAAATTATGAGTTATTATTTATTTATTTCATTTTAGAATATCTGCGTCATTAAATGCAAAATTCCTTAATTTTTTTTATAGACTTGTGCGCTGCCATTTTGAAACTATCATTAAAGCAAGTACCATGAACCTGAATTTCTTGGTTGAATGAAATTCTTGGTTCTTGCTTTAAAGAACCATTACCCCTAACAGAATTGTAACAGAAATTAAGTAAGCAAATATTAAAAAGCAAATGTATCAGCTAAGATTAGAGAACCATTATTATTTAGATTAGTTTGTTATATTTTAAGCAAACAAAACTGTTAAAAAGCATATTTAGAAGAAAACTACTTCTATTTTGCATTTAAATGACATGAATAAAACAAATTATAACAAAATGGTTGTAATAGGAACTGGTAAATTCTACATAAAATGCAATTGGCGGAACCACAGAGAGTTCAGGAACCAACAAAATTGAGCATAGCTGTCAAAGAGCTAATACCTCTTTACAGGAACTCGTTTATAAAAGTAATAATGTTGAGCAAGGAAAATAAAGCTATACATAATGGAAAGGTAACCGAGTGCAAACTTTACAAAGTTACCTATCAAAACTTTCCACTGTTCTACAAAAAGAAGAAAAAAATTGACATACTTTAATATTTTGGAAAATAAATACAAAATCTGATTGTATGTGAGGACAAAAGGCTGCACTCCAAAAGCAGCAAGAAAAAGGAGCAAAAAATTTACTCAGATTGATTTCGATAGAGAACAAAGTGCTGAATTGCAAAAATAAAATCAAAGGTTATGGAAATTAGCCCCAGTCCGAACTTCGTTCCATTATAAAATATCTCTTTCCATTGTTCTATAAATAAAAAGAACATAATTTTTTTTTTTAGCACAGCAATATTTAAAAAGATTTGATTATCAAAAATTTTAAAAGGTGCCACCACAACCAAAGAATTGCTAAGGTAGAATGTTAGAAAACGCTTAGCAAGCTGCAAGCTAGGATGGGGAATGGAAAAAGTACAGTTCTATGTTAGTATTCAAAGTGCTAGTAGTAGTAGAGTTAGTGCATGCATAAGTAATTACATTTGAATGTCAAGTAACATTCAGAATAAGTGTGTTAGTAATCAGAATATCAAAGGTGTTAGTAATTAAAACATAATAGAAAGTAATAACTTTCCAATAATTATCAACCAAAACAAAATATACATTATTATTTAAAACATAATTTGTGCAAATGTTATCTGAAATTTTAAAAAAGTAAAAACGATATATGACCAACTAAAAAAAGTAATATTTTTTTTACTTATTTTTAATGGTGCGATTATCAGAAATTGTGAAATCGATTAAAAAAACATACTATTATTAAAAACATACTATTATTAAAAACATACTATTATTAAAAACATACTATTATTAATTTAAAAAAACATACTATTAAGAAAGAGTGTTACTCACCAAAGTTATAAGCTGTTATAAACATTTGTCCAATACTAAAGAGACCACCAACAACATCAAATAAAACAGTGCCTATACTCCAACCAACTGTTGATTTTCTTTGGTAATTGTACACAACCTAGATATTTAAAAACAAAAATTAAATTTCAATAAACCTTAAAAACAAAATTTAAAACTTTGCTATATGCACATGTAGTTCACCAAAATATTGTAAGTTTAGTGAATAGAACATGATATTTTATGTTTAAATAAATAATATTTTTTTATAAAACTTCAAATAAGAAAAAATACTATATAGAGTGCATAAATAATAGCACTCTGCTTTTCTAAAACTACAATATTTTGAATAATTAAACACTGATAGAGCTTAATTGCATAGATATTTAATAAAACTTTCTTCAAAATATAAAGAGAGAGAGAGACATGTGAAAATTTAGAAATAATCACAAACATCCATTTCCTTGAAAGATGAAAGTATCTAAGAATGTTTCTCTTTTATGTAATGTTTAGCTACAACAATAATTTTAATTGCAACATTAGTATTCTTCATCTATACAACATTTACCTACTGCTGTAGTTTTAATTGTAACACTAGTATTCCTGTTCTATACAATGTTTAGTTACTGCTACATCTTTAACTAGAATTTAGTTACGGCGACCCAGGCAAATATGCCCATACGCCAAATGTGAGATGCCTCGTCGTCGACTTGAAATCCAGCTCGGCACGAGGACCTAGCAATATGCGGACACCGGGCATGGCCCCGAGTCACGCAAGAATTGTAGCACCATAGTCGCGATCGAGAGCAAAGGATGCCCGACTGGTCCAAAACCTGAAAAGCGGCAGTGCCAAACCCTCCACAGACGGAGCCGAAATTGGGTCAACAGCAGGAAGACCGCCGCCACCCCGCGATCCATCGAGGGCCCTAGACCTGGAAGGTCTCAAACCCTTTACTTTATTAACAAAAACACAAAAAGTATTAAATCAAAGTATTACAAAGCAAAAAATCAAAATCGCAGCAGATTGAGAGTCGCCTGATCTGGCTTACAAAATGGCATCGCAATTATGCCATTTTGTAAGCCAGATCAGGCGGACTCAAGAAAACCATCGACTATTGCGGCTAAGGCAATCCTAGCCCCAATAGTCGATGGTTTTCTTGAGTCTCTGAATTGCTCTTTTCTGCGACATGCAGCTTCTGCTTAAAGCACTATGGTCGGTTCTCAGGTTGGAGCCGTACCTTTTATTCGTCTCGTGACAATTCACACACTTTGGTTTGCTTTTGTATGATGCCACATGATGGCCTGCTTCGTCGCAATTTGAGCACGTTTCTGCGTGGCCGCAGTCTTTTGCAATGTGTCCGAGCCTGTTTCAACTATATCATCGGAGCGGTCTTAGGTATTCCTTGGTACGGTAGCACTTCCATCCCACATAGACTCCTTCTTTTTCGAGGGTCTCCTTAAAGCACTTTGCCTTCATTGCAACAACCCAGTGGACACTTTTTTGGCTTTGATTGGAAATTCGACTTCAAAGTTACCGTCATGAATTTCGTAATTATTTGCACTCAGGCATCTAGAGAGGCTTTCTTAACTAGAATACTAAGTACAATGTTGAACTAATGCTGTAGTACTAATGCTATTACTAATGCTGTACTAATGCTATTACTAATGCTGTACTAATGCTGTACTAATGCTGTAGTTTCAATTATAACACTGGTATTCCTATTCTATACAATGCTTAGTTACTGCTATAGCTTTAACTCCAACACTAGTTATAATGTTAAACTACTGCTGTAGTTTTAATTATAACATTACTATTCCTGTTCTTTACAATTTTGAGTAACTAGACATTAGAATTAACTAGCTATAAGCTTTAACTAGAATATTAGTATTAATCCCTCTGTACAATGTTAAACTACTGCTATAGTTTTAATTATAGCATTACCATTCTTGTTTTATAAAATGCTCTAACAGTTCTTCCTTTTTTTTACTTATGAAGTACTAAGCAATTCCATGATACAAAGAACAACATAACAAAATATTAAGTTTTAAGAGCATCCCTTCATCAACAAATTTCTTATTTTTTTATTATTTCCGATATAAAATCAAAAATTGTAGTTTTTAAGTATTTTGCAATAATAATAAAGCTTATTAAAATTGTAATATAGCTTGTACTTGTATCATCAGTCACAGAAAAATTGTAACATCATTCAAAAGAGCTCTTCTTCTATTTGCCAATTTCTATATGTCTTTTCATATGTACTATCAATGTTTGCAGATAATTTGAAGTTTTTTTTTTAAAATAAATAAAAAAAACAAAAACAATCCCATTATTGCAGACACATTTTACATTTTTATTTGAAATATAACATTTATAATTTTTATTATAAGCATAATAATATTAAGTTATTGAAAAACATCCCATCCAATTTTTAACTCTTAGTCTTTATAATTGTAACAATAAAAATAACTGTATCTACAATTCTTTGAATTATAGCAATAATTATCTGTAAACTTTTAATTAAGTTTCTTCTTTCTAAATTGCATATTGCTAATATATAACTTAAATCCATGTTTTTTAAAATAATACATATGTTTATATGCACGTGGTTCCCTTTTTTAATGGGTTACAAGTTACTTAAACCCAGGTTACAGCACATAGAATTAAAATGACTTTCTCCTGGTTTTTATTAAATTCATTTTTTCCACTTTTTTTTAATCATTGGTGCCCTTCATTATCATTTAAATGACAAACAAAGTATAAAGCAAAATAATACTGCACATTTTGTCATGAAACTTAACACCAAAAGAGTCTAATATAAAAATGATAACCAATACCAAAACTTTGATAACTCTGTATGACAAATTACAAAAAAATATTTTTAAAAAAAGTTATAACATACCTGAGGAATGTACTTAGTCAGAGTAACTCCTAACTTTACGTAGGAAAAGAAATACAAAAAGGTCAACCAAGGAGTGTATTTGTTAACGTGCAAAGCAGTCAGCAAAAGAAAAACTCCAGCTGTAGACCAAACAAGAGCAAGTATTGCAACTGTAGACTTCGCAATCAGCTGATCTCCTCGCTGAAAAATAGTTCAATAGTTACAAATAGAATCTTCATTTATGAGATAAATTTAACAAATTAACCAGATAAAAAACAGGTTATTATGCAATAAATTAGTAAAACAAATTGAATTAACAGTTTGAAGAAGGAAAGAAATTTAAATATTTTTTATGAGACAACCAAAGTCATTAGCAAGATAAATAATAATAAGACTTTGGGGCAGTTTGCTCCTTCAGTGTTCCCAATATGAATTTAATTTTATTATTCAAACGCATGATTTTTGTAACTCAATTTTATATTACAGCATGAAGAATAATCACTCCAAATGAGTAATACCAAGAAATTGAAGCAGAAAGATATGCTTGACATATATATAAAAACTTCATTTGCTTAAAAAAAAAGAAAGTAAGATTAAGGAATTCATAGTTAGCAAGTTTTCATAAATTATGGGTGCCTGTTTTTGCGCGCTGGAAGCAAGCTGACATTTACCACCATATTCATATTTTTAGAAGCAAATATAGTTTTTATGTCATTAATATTTGCTCCAATTCTAAAAGTTTAGGAGTTTGATCAACCAAAAGGCGTACTTGTACAAGATGAAAATAAATAAGTAGCCCATTAGGAAATACTAGCTCAACTAATATACATAATTATTTCAAACTTATAAGGGTATTAACAACTAAATTAATTTTGATTTTTCTGATTTGTTTTTATGTGGTTACAGTTTTAGTTTGATTATTAAGAAATTCAATATCAGATTATACTTTTATCTGAAGGCAATTTTGCATTGATTTAGATTTTTATTTGCATCACTTAATTTTGTGTGATGCAGATAAGTTGAATAAGAGACCTGACTTAAAATTTAAAATGCATCTATTTTTTTTAAAAATTGAAACAAAATGTTTTTAGTAGCAATTTTGTCATTTTACTTTTCTCATTTTTCTTGGAGCAAACTAACAACAACAAAAAAAAAAGAAATAAATAATAAAAAAATAAAAGAAAAACAATTTCATCTTCTTCAGTTGTTAAAAAAACTTTTCTTTATTCAAAAGTCGATAACTCATTTTTTAACTCTCAGATACCAAGACCAAGATCTCAGAACCAAGGGAAAAAATAGTATTAAATTTTTAATGCAGATTAATGCTTAGCTAAGCATTTAACAAATCATTTGCTATATTATTGCTAACTATTTCTATAAAGTAAAATTAATCTTAAGAGATATCCCTACACTTGAAGATTAATTAAATAAAATTATGTGCAAACAAATCAGGAAATTTTTTCTGGAATCAATCATGACGAATATGTTCAAATTGACAACTAGATCATTCGTCGTGGCGAAAAAATCAAAGACGTCATTGTACAAGAAGTGACTCAAAAATGGGATGATGATGTTAAGGAAAAAGAAATTCCAGAAGGGAACAAAAGTAATTTAATATGTGCCCCTTCTGTAGCCCTAAAAATGATTAATTATCTAAGAAGTTTGTGGAATTTTAAATTATTGCTAAAAATAACTTATTTCATGCAATAATGATACTGAAAATTTTATTAATACTGCAAAATTAATAATGTAGCTGCTAAAACAAACTGATATCACAAAATATTTTAAATAATTCCGTACAAAGATTATTCTCACTCTCTCATAAATTATGATTTTACAAATTTCCACTTTATTACAACAAAATTTATAATAAATATATGAGTTGAAGGTTATTATTAAAAATTAAGAATATTGTACGGTAAATTTATTTCTTTATTAAAAATTTTATTTTATTTGACTCAATGCTATATTTATTGTTTTCTTTAAACTGTGCTTATTTTTGAATTTTGGATAACTGAATTTTAATAAATTTGAGCTTTCTCCCATCCCATTTGAGTTAAAATTTAAAAGAGTCTACTGTATTCCGATGTTCAAAAATTATGTCTACTCAAATTATTTAATAACTAATAAAGAAACTGAAAAAAGCATAGTTTTTGACATAGTAGAAAAAACATACATTAATTCCTCCTAAAAAATTTCGAACAATTTTCATAACTGAAAAATATTTTTATTTACATTGAAAGACGAAAACATATTTTTTTTTCCGAGATGCACCTGTATTTAGCACTAACAGTAAAAAATTTTGGCCAATAATCACAATACTTATTAGTTTATTAATGCAAATTTAAAAAGCTAAATGATAACACTTTTAGATTATGTCTGGCTTCAAACTAATAGATTTTAAAAGTTTATTCGTATATGTTTTAATAAAATTGACAACCAGAATATAAACACAGTTCAAAGGTAGAAAAGAAAGGAAAATAAAATAACAACAATCCTGTGTAAATCTATTAACTTACTTCATAAATAAAACACTGGAAAATTGTTACAAGAGTAGCAAATACTGCGTGAACAGCAAAAACAACATCATTGGTTTCAACAGGTATAATTCCAGTAGGATGCACTGTATGATATTCAAGCTATAAAAACAGAGATAAAATTATCTCAACTACACTGTTAAAAACAATAAATATATACCTAAAGATTTTAAAAGATTTACCTGAACTTCTTTAACATATTTCAAACCAATATTGAAAACAGAATAGGCTATAAATCCAGTCAAATTCAAACCAAGGAAATCAAAGTTCAATCCAATCACACTAAATAAAAATACATAAGCAATAATCAAAAATTTAGAAGGACTATTGATATCACTTAAAAAATATAGACGCTTCTTGGCAATTTGTACATTTAATACGTTTCGATTAATTTGTACATTTAATACGTTTAATACGTTTTACGACGTTTCTTGGCAATTTGTACAATACATTTAAAAATATATAATAATACACAAATCTCTAAAAAAAAGAAAAGTTAAAATACTATTTTATAAAAAAAATTAAAAAATGGAAGCCAGAGCTTTTAAGAAATGTAAGTGTTTTTTTTTTCGGTTATGAAAATAACAAATCAAATAAATTTGTAACTTATTACATGTTTAAAGCTTATGGGTGAAAATAGTTTTTATGTTACTTCCTGAGTACTATATAAAAAACCTGAAAATAGAAAGTGAAAATATTTTTTTAAATATTACAGTGTATAAAATAGCTTGGTTTAGATTAGACAACAGTAGAAAGAAAAAAATATGTCACGAATTTAAAAGGGAAGATAATCCGATATTTATTTCATATTTTGCTCATGCATTTAAAATATAATATGTAATATTAAATTCATAAAAATTAAATTAATCTGCTTTAATAGATATATTTCAAGGTTCTTTTATTTCATTTTTTATTTATTCTTTTCTTTATAGATATGCATAAGGTAAAGCATAAAACTTTTAATTCAAAATACAATATATGGAAAAAAAATTTAATCGTAATTTAAATTTAAAATAACTAATTAAAGAAAATGGATTTCATTTTTACAGCTAAACATTAGTAATAGAGCTATTTCTATTACAAATTAAATCTTTAAATCTACACTTATTTAATATTCAAAATCAATTAAACTTTAAGAACTGTTTCCTAAAACATATATAATCTTGCACAATTTATTAACAAGAAAACACTCATTAAATGTTTCAAAAATATCTGAGATTTTATCAGCCATAAAGACATTGTTTGATAAAACCAAAATAGATAACTTCCCCGTATTCAAGATAGCTATACGAATAGTAAAGACACAATGAAACATTTAAACTAGTAGCACATAAAGTAGCATAAACTGGTAGCATTATTATACTTGGTAGCACATACGAAAACCAGAAAAATTATAATAAATTAAAATATAATAAAATGCTGAAATTCCTTACAGTGATGAGATGGAATGTTTTGTGCCAATTGAAACAGGAATTATCATTTAAAAGTATTAATTTCCTACTCTTAATACAGTTTAAAGTTATAGTGCAATTGAAGTAATAATTTTATCTGCAGATAATTCATAACTAAAGTAACACCAAATTATCAACAATTACAAACTTAAATATTAAAAAAAAAAATTATCAACTTTTAGCAACAATTTATTATTATAAATTTTTTTTCTTCAAGCTTAGCACAATTCTGAAAATTAAAAGGCAAAGCCGTACTGAAAAGGAGTAAGACAGGAGCAATTGCATCGAAATTCCTTACAAAATATGTAGTGTATTTTAATGTCAAAAAAAAATAATAATTAATCCAAAAACTTAGGAAATTCTCTTATGTACAGACAAGATATGTAGTGTATTTTAATGTTAAAAAAAATGATAATTAGTCCAAAAACTTAGGAAATTCTCTTATGCACAGACAAGATATGTAGTGTATTTTAATGATTTAAAAAAAATAATTAGTTAAAAAATTTAGGGAATTCTCTTACATACAGACAAGAAAATATAAAAACTACAATTTTAAATAAAGGCTCTTTATAGATTTACAAAATAAGATTCTAGAGAATTAGACCCATAAAGCCAGTGTCTTGTCAAAAGGTGCTGATTTTAAAGCAGTTCTTACAAAATTATCCGAGTTTTTATTATTACAGCTAAAGAAGAATCAGAATAATAATAAAAAATTGAGGAGTAATTTCGTGCAAAAATTAATTTTTGTGAAAGCAGCTAAAAACCCCTAGCAACAATTTTACCTTGGTCCCAGTTGGGTTCTAAATTGGTTCAATATGGGTCGTAAAAGAACATGCACCGAGGGACCAATATTGGGATGCCTAGATTCTTTTATACTGGTCCTAGAATGGTCTATATAGGGCCTACATTGGCTAAATAATGGATATAAAATATCGGGTGGATCTGACAAACCTATATAGGGCCAATATTGGTTGTAAAGTGGCTACAACATATCGGGTGAATCGGAAATTTCTATATAAGGCCAATATTGGAAAAATAAAGGCCCTTTTAACGCTTATTGAGCTTAGATTCATGAATATTGGCCCAATGAGGGCTCAAGTTATTGTGTTGCTAGGGAAAATTGGTGTATTTGGAGCAGAAACTTTAAAATATAATTTTTTTTTAATAATAATTCTCACCTTTTCCTTTTGTAGTTTTCAATGATTTGAGGATAAAATGAAACAGACCAGGCAATGAAATATAACCATCCAATTATTGAGCTAATTACATTCCAAGCATCATACTTGTACACACCAACTCTAATATATGCGTCTTTAACACTGAAAAACAGAAATAAACAAAAATTGTAGTAAAGTAATAATATTATAATTCTCAAAGCATTGTAATTTATTTAAAATTGATCTAGTGAACTCTGATTTTTCATTTAAAAAAGTAGCAGAAAAGCATTACCAGCTGATATTTTCTTTATATATTATATATATATATATTGATATATTATTTTCTTGATACATTATGATTTGATATATTATATACTTTTTCTGATGCATGCTTATTAAAGATAAGTCATTTAAAAAATAAATAAAGCCTTTCAAGAAAGAAAAAGATCCAAGAAATAAACACCATAAAAAATGTGTATAAAAATTTTTTTTCTCTCAAAAATTCACATATTTCGAATTCAGAATAATTAAACAATTATAAAAATCTTTGTTTGAACTACATTTCCAAATTGCTACTCTTTAAGATCTGGAATAAATAAATGCTTACAAAATAGGTCTACTTCTACAAAAATAAAACAAGAATAAAGACTCAAAAAGAATTGCACCCTTTTTAAAAATTATTTACTCTTCCAAAGTAGATACTAACATTTTAAAACACCGGTTGTTTTCCTTTCTCTGACTGAACCAAATTTGTTCACCATATATCTTGATATATCTTAAGAAATCTTGATATATCTTATATAATTCAAAATAAATTTTAATTGAATTGGATACTCAGAAAACACATGTTTGAATAATTTAGTTTGGGTAGGAATGTAGAAAATTTTAAGGCAGTCTATCATGGTATGTTTTTAAAACAGAATACTATAATATTTAAAAAAATACAAATGGCAACACTTTGGTTGTCCTAAATATTTCTGGTACTGTAAATGAATGGTGGTTATCTGTTTCAGGCGAGATAAAAATCCTATCACAAAATCATACTTATTTCAGTATATTAAAACTACGACTAATAAAGCACAACTGACATCAATGATATTTTAAAAACTTTTTCAATGCCCTATAAATGTCTGAGTACTAAAAATACAATATTTCTTTTTAATAAACAGCACACATATATTCATTAATATACTAATATTCTCTTGACACAATTTAAATGTGAGTCTTTTGAGACAATTTAAGTGAAAAAACAAATTTTACGTTCTCTCATCAAATAGCAGATTTTAATTTTTTAATTAAAAATGATGTCTAGTCATCATTAATGCATCTTCCTACTGTACAACATTTCATGAAAATAAAAAAGATCACTCATAATATTCAACTTACATTAGTATAGGTGGCGTCACTTTAGCGATTACAGTTGTATGCCCAGCTTCTTTTGCCGCAAGAGTAAAAGTTAAATCGATCAGAGTTCCATTTTCAACAAAAGTGCTATTCGGCAATGGATACAAATTATTACCATCCGTATAGCCAAACCAAATAGTAACATTTTCAGATACTGGTTCGCTAAAATAATACAAATTTTAAAATAATTATTCAGAACAAAACAAATAATTAATAAGCACTTCATAATAAGATACTATAACTGCAGATTTTCCTGAATAATTTTACTCATTTTTTTAAGTTATGAATCAACAAATAATAAGTTTTAAGTAACCTACATTTATTTATACACACAAATGTATTATTCGCACAACCTGCTTCGTTTGCAAAAAATTCAAAATTATTATTTTTATTTTGTTGTCAAACTACATTCAAATAACTGCAGCAAGTTGTGATGCCATATTCAAAACATAAGTACATAATAAAAAGTAACATGCTTACTACAGATAATAGAACAGCTATAACTCACTTCAATGGTTTTAAAATTAATATATAACTGTAATCTCTATTCAATGCCTTTTTTATATGAAAAAATATAATTTGGTCAATATCAAATAGCCAAACACTAATAATTTTTAAATTCCAAATGCAACTATTTAGAGAAAAATCCACTTGCAATTATAATACTTACTACTAAGGCCCGATATTAGAAAAACACTTTAGAATTTTCTTTTTCTAACATTGTAAAGCTCAATATCTAATGCAACCTTGTTTTACTTAAATACTTTATCCCCATTTAAAATTAACATTCATAACCAAATAGTGTTAAGAATTTTACATTGGCCCTAGTTGGGTTCAAAATTGGCTCGATATGGGCCATATAAGAACATGAACCAAGGGACCAGTATTGGGATGTCTAGATTTTTTAATATTGGTCCTAGAATGGCTTATGTAGGAGCAACATTGGTCGAATAATGGATATAAAGTATTGGGTGAATCTGAAAATACCATATGGGACCAATATTGGTGGTAAAGTGGCTGTAAAATATTGGGTGAATCAGAAAATTCTATATGGGACCAATATTGGTGGTAAAGTGGCAGTAAAATATTGGGTGAATCAGAAAATTGTACATGCGACCAATATTGGTGGTAAAGTGGCTGTAAAATATCGGGTGAATCAGAAAATTCTATACGGGACCAATATTGGTGGTAAAGTGGCTGTAAAATATTGGGTGAATCAGTAAATTCTACATGGGACCAATATTGGTGGTAAAGTGGTTGTAAAATATCAGGTGAATCAGAAAATTCTATATGGGACCAATATTTGTGGTAAAGTGGCTGTAAAATATTGGTGAATCAGAAAATTCTACATAAGGCAAATATCGGAAAAATAAAGGCCCTTTAAATCAATAAATATTTTTAATAAAAGTTTCATTTTTAATATCTAAATATAAAATTATAATTTATAAACCAAAGTTATGAATTTTTAATCATCAGTTTTTGGGCATGAAATTAGAAAAGATAGCTTTATAATAGAAATGAATAACACATAATCTTCAAAAAGAACCCTATTTTTATTTTTTTAAATTAATAAATAAAAAAATAAACATCTCATCTCAGAAAAAGAAAAATTTAAAAATCACTATTGTCTCTAAAGATAATAAGAACAATCAAAATTAGATAAGGGACGAAACAAAGAAGTCTATCTTGTTTCACACTTTGAAAAAATTTCTTACTTACTCTGCAATAAATATAAGATAAAACTAAATAGAAAAACAAATATTGTAAACCTAATTTTAAAACCAAAAAACCACCACAATAAAAATCCAAAACTTTAATAATTAAACATATTTTTGAATAATTTTATTTATTTTCTTTGTTTAAGTTAAAACAACCACTACATGTTCACAATTTTTTAAGTACAGTATACTCTCTATATCTCAAAAGGGACACTGAGAAAATTTTGAGATAGGGAGTTTCCGAGATAAGAAGTTTAGAACTAAATATTCTCTAAAGAGTTCTCTAAAAAGTAAAGTTTTGAAACATAAGAATAACTACTAATAATTATGCATGTATTGATAGTTGACTTTAAGTCTAAATACAGCAATGATAATTTTGTTTATAAAAGTAAGATAATAATTATGCAAATTAAATAGAAAAAAATTGATCCACAATAAATTTACTTTGTGATTTTTTTGTAAAAATTCATTTTCAATTTAGAAAAAAAATTCGACATAACAAGGTTTTGAGATGAAAATCACTCTTTGACATAGGAATTATAATATTATGTGGATAAGTAATGCCAAAGAGAAAGATATTTCTTTGACATAACAAGGTTTTCAAGATAAAGAAGTTTGAGGTATCAAGAATATACTGAAATATATTAAAATATCTTATGATTTAATAAACTAATTCAATAAAAGTGTACGGCAAGAAAATTAGTTCTGTTTTTATCTTTTTAGATTTTTAAAAAAAATTAGCAAGAAAATTAGAATTAAGTAAGAAACCATTTTCTTTTAAAAAATTGAATAGGAATAAAAAGAAACAATACTGTAAATACACTAACTTTTTAAAACAAATAAGAAATCATACAAGTTTAATAAAGGAATATAAGTTTAATAAAGGAATATAAGTTAAATAGCAGTAAATGTTCTAAAATATTTTATTAATTTCCAAAAAGATGCAATCTATTTAATTTCTATTTGCTTTAACAAAGTTTGGAGATACAGAAACCTAGTTTTATACTTTAAAATAACTTTACTTCTTCTCAAAAAATACTACACAAGTGTTTAAAATATGTAATAAATGGAACATAAAAGATGCATATAAGAGGTCCAAAAACCAAATGTGGCTCTAGAATCTGAACTAATTGGAAAAAAAAAACTACAACAGAAGAGATTTTAAAAAAACAAAATAAAAATTCCAAAACCTTATGATACTAACCATAATGCTGTGCAGTTCAAAAATAGAATATCTGCAATACAGGGTTGGCAAGTTTCTGACACATGACGGTTTTTACCGTCATGTCAAAAACCCATAGTTCTGGTAAAACTGAATTTTTATTTGAGTTTAACTGCTTATAATTTAAAATAAATTCATTTTTGGGCAATAAAATTAGAAAAAAAGTTGTTAAAAGATATATAAGAACAGATTCTTGACTAAAACAGAAATCGACTGGGCAATGAAAAATGCGCAAAATTAGTCACTTGCTATCGTATGCTTCGCACAGTGACCCCGACTACTGAACATTTAATTTTGTTTGTAATTAAGTTTTGTTTAATGTGATTTTTCAACTGAATAAAAATTTTTAACTTGACAAAATAGCAGTAATTCTTGACTTTGAGTTTGTTAGTAGTTACAAGTTTTGAAAGTTTTGTTTAGCTTATTTGTAATATTTAAGAAATTCCGAATTTTAAATTCTTCTTTTTAGTTCTTGAATTTATTAATAGTTCCAAGCTTTTTTGTTTGTTTGTTTATTTCTAACAATTAAGAAGTGCAAAATTTTGAATCCTTTGCAAATCAAGCTATAATGATAAAAGTAAGCATCACTATTTTCAATAAGTATATTACAGTATTTCTGTATGAATCTATATCCTTCCATAAGAATACATGTATAGAGTTGCAAAATCAATAGCAATCATTTACAACATTCATTTATAAAAGCAATTATGTGAAAATAATATATTGTCTGCTATATGCCATAAATTAAAGAAAACAGTGGTTTTTTGATGGTTTTTACCAGTAAAAACACGGTTTTTGCCACTGTCATGTCAAAAACCAGTTTTTGAGGGCTAAAACCCAACCCTGCTGCAGTATATATATATATATATATATATAGATAGATAGACAGACAAAGATACCTACAAAGAATGATAAAACCTGCTATAACTTAGCTTTATTAAAAAAAAAGCTAAGAGCATAAGATTTTTAAAAGTTTTCCAATTTAAAAATATTAGCCACATATTTTGTCTCGTATGATTGGCGGTTCATTTCGATTGGTGGTAAAAACATATCACTACAGTACCTATATCAAACCATTAGATATTTTTTACCACAATTAATTAAGCATCAATAATTGTTTGGTACTTTCTTACAGCTTGTAAGCCTTAGATGTTTTAAATAAGAATCTAATGTAAGCTAATAAAAATTCAAAATAATTGCCTCTTTTTCAGACACATTTATAGATGTCTTTTCCTGATTAAAACTTATTTAGTTTTAAAAAGAAGAGAGAATCACTAACAGGTAGATATAAAAATAAAAAATTCAAAAAATAAATAAAAATCTTTACCTTGAATTCAAGTTAAAAGATGCATTTGTGTGTAGATTGAAGGAGATTTCTCGTTCAGAGACAGACAGAACATTGACAGCTACAAACAAGAAAAATATTAAGGTTGTTTAAAAAACAATTATTTCAATAAAATACAGTAGGAAAATAATCAATAACAAACCTGAAGATGGGATGACAATGCTTAAGCAGATAGCACATAAAACGAACATCGCAGACTGTAAAGCCATTTCTTTAAAAATATGAAAAACAGAGATTCTATAAAAGAAGATAATTGTATAAGAAATTAAATGGCAGTGCGAAAAACTACACCATTTGGTAATGACAAATTAATTTTGTAATAATAGCAAAACTAATTTATAAATAGTAACAAAGATAAGAAAATCAACTATAAATACCCTGGTAATATAAATTAAGTAACAGTATAGAGTGAGTAACAGTTGAATAAAATCAATAAATAGTTTTTAAAAAATTTCAAACCTGTGCAGGTTTGTTATGATAGTTAAAAAGGACTTTTTTTAGTTTTGCTGGAGATTTTATAAGCAATGAATTACGTCATTTAGAAACAAACTGATTAAACGCGTTATCTTTTTTACTTTCTTAAAACAAAAAGATAACATGTCACATATTTAAAAAGGGAGATGCGATAAAACTTAATTATGACATTCAATTTATGAATCATGATCACATCCTCCCACAAACAGACGAAGCAGACGCATTTCTGTAAACAAAAAAAGTATATTTTAAAGAAATAAGCGTCATAAGTATGGACTAAACGGTTTAATCAGTAAACGTTCATAAAGTTATATAAAATAGGTAAGAACGAATTAAACTCAAAAGTAGCAAACTTGGTGCTCCCAATTTTAGCTTTTCTGAAAATTTTTGTCATGTTTCCCAATTACGGTTAACGATTACATTCAAATTAGATTCTGAAATTTTCAAGGGTTATTTTCACTCTTTTGATTTACTCATGTGATTGGTGAAGCCTGATTGGTGAAATGCATTTCCTGGAGAAACATTTACCAGTCAGGATCTCTCTTTCTCTCAACGGCAAACGAAGATGCGGCAATCGCATGAAACAATATTACCAGCGAAAAAATTGCATTCACTGATATATTTGAATTAGCCACTTTATTTAGATTTAGAATTAGTTTAGGAGTAATAAAAGATTACATTTTGTTTTTTCTAATCTTTACGATTAAATTCAGTTAGATAATGCCAGAAAGATAACAAAATTTCCTTATTTTTCCCAATTTTCTTCGAAGAAAACTGGAGCTCCTTGACTAAATGAAAAAAGAAAAAAAAAGGGTTTATTCATTTTAAAAGCTCAATTTATGTAATTTTAATTTTTTTGCCAATAAATTTAGATATTTTTTAAAAATTCTCCCCTGCTCTCTTCTTTCTCTTTTGATTTGACTTACTGCGTTTTGCTAAATACCAATTTATTATTAAAAGTGCGCTTCACTGCTTTAAATTATAAAAACCCAAACCACATAATTTAAGTTGTAAAATTCTATTAGGAAGTTACATCAGGATGCGAATCAGGAAGTTAGCCAATAGTAGTGAACAGTGGAAAAACTCAAAATTCCTTTTTAAATCCATATAATCGTCCATATCTCATCTGATTACAATTATATTGATGAAATGTTCTTGTATAAGGCTACAACAATTGTATATAATAATAAACAATATATAGCACAGTAAATAAATACAAGAAAAAAATTTAGAAAAACAATAAGTTTTATTTACTGCGCGCGAACTGCAAGTAAATAGAACTCATAAATAAGTTCAAAATGTAGAGAAAACAAGGAAAAAAGTACGGAACAATGAAAAAAATGAAAAAGAAAGACAAATAATAAATATAATATTCATACATTTATCAGCGGGCAATCTTTTTGGGGTGCTCCTCACACTATTGTATTGATATATTTTGCTTTGGTTATATTAATAAAATATCAGAAAGCACTCCTTTCTGCGAATATAATAGTGTGAGCTGATGCCGAGATTATATCTTTAAATTATTTTGTTTTCCGGAATTTTAATATTTTTTAAAATTTCGGAAATATATTAAATATCCTTTAAAATATATTTTATTTAAATAATTTTTCTTTTTCTCTTTTCATTAAGTAGTATTCGTATACAGTATTCCTCTCCCTCTCTCTACTTATTTGTATATATATATAAAATTTTCTCCTTAAATACAATACAATACAATACAATACAATACAATACAATACAATACAATACAATACAATGTCAGTCGGGCGAGCTGGACACACAAACGCAGGATTTAAAAAGAGCAGACTGAAATTTATTTGACCATCATAATCAGAGAATGAATATCCAAGTGACACACAAATGTTTAGATGTAAGAAATAATAAATATCTCAGTGCGCTGCCGCGTAGCGGCATTAGCTGCTTCAACGGTAATTATATATCGATAATGGTGGGTAGTGTTGAGGAACTGTAGTAGGAGCGGAGAGGGATGGTGCCTTGAACCAAAGTGAATGGGTAACGTGAAGGCTAATTGGTCGTAACGTACGAAATAGTCCTAAGTTGAGAATATCGGTTTTTGTAATAACAATACAATAGTTGAGAAACATAAATCAGAAACATAAATGGGAAAAGGCGATAATACATCGAAGTGCTCCAATATAAATATTAGGGAAAATCTTTTAAAATAAATCAGCAAAATGTTCTGTTTCAGGGTATTAAGGAAATCTGAGTAATTACAATTGGTCTATTAAGGAGCCGGGATAGCCTGGTCGGTAGGGCGCTGGGCCCATGTCCAAGAGGTCGTGGGTTCGATCCTCACTGGCCGAAGACTCCCCGTGCAGTAAATGGTGACTGATGCACGTTAAATCTGTCGAGTCTCAAAGTTCTCCATGTTCCCATAACAAATCAATACCTCTGGGGGTACTGATCCAGGAGTTTCCTTGTCTTCTGGATTGGTTCAAAATTACAAGGCTACGGAGTTGAACATTAGTAGTCGTAAACCCATGAAATTGGGTCGGCTGTTCAACGACGGTTATAAAATAATATAAAATAGGTCTATTAAGAACCGCAATGGCTCAGGGGATAGAGCGTTCGTCTTCCAATGAGGAGAACCGGTTTTGAATCGCAGTCGATACGAATTACGCATCCGACTTGCACCGTCCACGGTGCTGAGATGAAAATATCCTCCGTGGTAGACGGATCATGGGTTGAAGTCCCCTTGCCGTCAGGCTAACCATGGGCGGTTCTCGTGGTCTTCCTTGCCATGTAACGCAAATGCTTGTTAGTGCCATCAAAAAGTTCTCCACGAAGGCAAAATTTCTTCCAATACTCGATCCAGGAGTTCCCTTGTCTTCTGGATTGGGTTCAAAATTACAAGGCTACGGAGTTGAATATAAGTAGTCTGGATCGGCTGTTCAACGACGGTTATAAAATATAAAATAAAATTGGTCTGTTAAATAGATCGAGGAAAAATAACATTTCTCACCGTTGTTTAAAGTGAAAATCCAAACTGTTAATTTGTACATACTTGAGATCAAAATATAGAATAAGAAAAGAAGTTTAATATTAAGTGTGAGATAGCGTTTAGTTTTGAATAATAAATTAAGAAGAAGAAATAATTAAGATGAATATATTTTGAAGAATAAATTAAGATGAAGAAATAACATAAAGAGCTTAGTTGAAGCTTTTTATGTTACATATATATAAACATGCATGGAAAATTTTAAAATCAGTTCATTAATAAAGTATAAAAATGACGTAATAAAATTCAATAATATGCCATCAAAAACTTTAGAAATAAAACATATTTAAAGTATCCGATTGTATAAAAATTGGCAAATTGTGAAAAAAAAAGAAAAATTAAAAAAAATATTATCTATATTTAAACTTTAATTCCTTAGCTTTTTAAAACCATTTAAAATTTTTATCTCCGATTTTTAGAAGTTAAGTTACAGTTGCTTTCTTTTTTTCTTTGCTGACAAACGAAACCGAAACTTGTAGTAAACTCACGAAAACAAAACTAATATTTTTGTTTTGCTTAAAAATTTAACTCTTATTTATTTAAATAAACTATTTTTTTAAAAACAATTAACATTAATTTTCAAAATTTAATTTTCGAATCATCAGATTTCTCGTTGTCATTATTTTCTTTTATTTTTCAGAATTACAGAATTCTTTGAAATTTTAAATGTAGATTTTGTATAATGTTAGCGATGTTTTTAACTGAAAGCTAACGTCTACGTTTTAATTTGCCATTTTTATCAAGCTTTAAGTAAGAATGTTTAGAATTGTTCTTTTAAAAGTTCGATATAAAACAATCTATTTAGTTCTATTTCATTATTTTTTTGAAAATTTTTAAAATTTTCGTTTAAAACACAGGTAATCAAATCATTGATCTAGAAAAATATTATATTGATATTTATGCATTACAATTCCTTGTAGATCCGTTAGCTTGACATAAGAAATTTGTTGTTTTTAAGCTCAAATTTGCTCTTGTTCCGAAAAATATTTTATAAATTTTTAAACTTTACTTTAAAATAATAATTTCCAAACATAAAACTAAAATTTTAACTGAGCCTTAAAAAAATTTGGGTCGAACCCAGTCGGATACTTTAAAAAATGACATAACTTGAAATAAAATTTAAAAATTAATTTTTATTTCACGTAAAAATAACATGTATTTCACGTGTAAAATAAACAAGTAAATTAATATAGTATGTAGAAATATCAAATGCGTATAAAGAAAAAAAGGAAAAAAAGAACTGCATTAAATGTTACTACCTATATTACGCATCACTTAACAGCCGATATAGTCACACAGTAAATTAGCGAAACTGTTTATCGAAATAACGAATACCGTTAATTATCGAATGTATTTAAAGTGGCCATAGTATTCCAATGCACTTTGAAAAAAAAAATAATAAATGAAAGGTTATTTACCTTCCTTCGTTATCGAGACATAGTTTAAAAATTGTTATCTCACGAATGTTCTTTAACGATTACAAAAATTTCTAAGAACAAATTCTGAAAACTTCTGGAAGAATTGATTACTAAACAAATTTTATTAATTTCTTTGTTCTGTCATATCCATGTCTAAAAGTTTTAATTTTAAGTATGCAAATTTGAAAATTTTGATTGTTGTTTACAGTTTACAGCAAATTGAAACTAAACAAATTTACCTCTAAATTACATAATTGCAAGAGCCAAGTGGATCAAAGTTCTAAAGAACATGTTAGTGATTTAAGGTAAATTGAAGCCTTTGGAATTTAGATGTTCTTTTATTGGTTACTTCAAATCTATGTTTTTGGTAAGTTTGCATATCGGTGGTACGTTTTTTTTTAGACTCAACATGTATGGACATCGATTATAGAAGATTCGTGGGTAGTGTTAATTTGAGTCATAATCTGCAATTATTATTATTATTATTTTAATTATTCAAGCCTTCACGATTGATTTAAGACTAAATGTACCAAAAAATTCTAAATACATAGATGGTTTGAGCCACGGTGGCTCAGGGGATAGAGCATTCGCCTTCCAAAGAAATGAACCGGGTTCGAATCCCAGTGATGGTTGATTCATACGAATTCCGCATCAGACTTACGCCGACCACAGTACTGACGTGAAATATCCTCAGTGGTAGACGGATCATGGGTTAGAGTCCTCTCTATGTAACGCAAATGCTGGTTAGTTCCATTAAAAAGTCCTCGACAAAGGCAAATTTCTCCCAATACTCTATCCAGGAGTTCCCTTGTGTTCTGGATTGGGTTC